AAATAGACATTACCTATATAAGTTCCCAAGGGCATGAGAGCAAGGGACCTCTCCTCCCACTCATTTCCACTTGTTCAAAACCAATGTGTCCCCTCTCCACTGTCGAGCTCTCTCCTCATTCCCTCTCTTGTTCATAACCGCTAGTTTCAACATAATGGACTTAAAAACATATTCTCCTAGATATTCTACATATATTTGAGTATTTGTGTTCATAACTTTTTTGACTAGCTAAATGTTTCTGTACATAGCCCTCAGTTGAAGTTTGCTTATAGCAATCAAAGAACTTCTGCTAACTATTTCTATGGGGAACGAACTCTGAGAGATATTAGACAGATAACATATATTTTTATAGGTGAAAATGTAGAGTTTATTTTGGTTGTAGAAAAAGATACCATCTATAATCTTCTTTGGCAAGCACAGTTTAATGAAAAACACAATTGTTTGATTATAACAAGGCATGGGATGCCAGATGAAAGAACCAGAAGCTTTGTCAGAATGTTAGAGGAAAAGATAGATGTTCCCATATTTAGCATCATCGATCTATATGTGTACGGAAGTTTAATCATAAAAACATATGCGATAGGATCCAATGAGTTGGCACATGACAATTTCAAATTTGCAGCAATCTCCATTTATTAGCTAGGAATTTGCACAATTGATATTGAAGATCTGGTCTATCTAGACAAAACCCATTGAAACAAAATACTTAGATGGCCAAAACTCAATCAGATTGAGATAAAAATGTTGAAAACCTTTGGTCTTTAGCATATATGCTAAGTATGGAATAAGCGGATTCATCATATGTTGGGCCTCAAGAAGAAATCATGTTTTGAAGAGCTCCATGTATTTGGTGAAAACTATGTTGCTGATCTCCATATTCCACCCCTTATTGATCGTGTGAAGAAAAGTTTAGAAAAAATAAACGGTATGTCTGTTGTTTATTATACATTATTAATTCATGTCATTATATATCATTCCACTGTGCTTTTAAACATATATTTATCAACATTTTCCTTTGAGGAAATGGTTTTCTTTAAGCCAATGACATCCGAAATTTCATTGGATCAACTGAAACAAAAGGCAAATGATTTTGATTCCAAGACTTCGATTGGTGAGGGGTCATATAGAGAAGTATATAATGTTGTGCTAGATAATGGATAACATCTGGCTGTGAAAAAGCTAAAAGTTGTAGCACACCCAAAATTTATAAGTCAATTTCGACTCTAGGTATGGGTTATCCAGACACCCAATACTATGCAAATGCTTCCATTCTTATTTACTGTGATAACATTGCTTGACCAATTTAATCTTGTCCTTTTCTCTTCTTTGGTTTTAGGCTGCCACTTTGGACTAATATAAATTTTGTAACTAAAGAGGGGCAATGGATACCTAAGGGGCACCTGTTTGCACCCCTACGGCTAGATTGGATTGCTGCATATTGCTCACTATTCCATTTCCAAAGCGAACCTGGAATTTCCTACCTTACCCTTCTTCGGTTAATCCCCTTTGTAGGGAATTGAGAATCTGAAGGCATTGGGGGAGGTTATTGACTTAGATTTAATCATCTCTCAATCACCTCATCCATTCTTCTTAAATCCCTATGAGACCGAACAAACTCTTAGGGTATGAGACCGAACAAGCTGCTTCCCTCCCTTCGTCCACCTGCACCGCTTCTCTCCTATTGCCTGCCCCTCATCCTAAGATCGACAAACCAACTGCCCACGACCGCCTACTCCGCCCACGCCCATGCCCGCGTCCACGGCCGCCCCAGCCGCCCTGGCTTCGCGCACCCCCGCCGCAATAGCTCCGCCCCGCGCTGCTCCAGCTGCCGGTTTAATTTCGTCGCCGAGGAACTACCGCCCAATGGAGGTGTGCGCCTTCTGGCGGTGGGAGGACGAGCTGAGAGCTTGTGTTCATGACTGCGTAGGTGAGGCGGAGGTGGATGAGGACGACAACGAGGAGCCAGGTCCCAGCACGTATCTCAAGAAAACCTGGACCGTTCATATAAGCTTCACGGCTGCTGATACCTAAGGTTTTTTCATTCTGGTAAAAGAGATCAGTATATAATAAGAGACCACTTACACAGGCATATATATAGACGGACATTCCACTCTGCCATCAGAGGGGCTTAGCGATTTTCTTGCTGATCGAGATCTTCACCAACCTAGCTAAAGTGTCACGGTCCTAAATACTAGTAGTAGGAATCGTGGAGCCACTTTATGTCCTTAGGTAAATTAACATATAATACTCATATTGTGGACACGGCACCTTACTACAGTACCAAACAGAGACACTATCTAGTCCTAAAAGCATATATAATAACCAAGAAAATGACTAAGATAGTGTAAAGTGATCCTTTTTTCTCAAGGATAAGCAAACATAGCTCGAATGATGAGCTGCCTTTTGGTGCAAAGTTGGAGCCTCGCACTAGCTGTGAGTTTACAATTTGCATTACCTAGCAGTAGCACTACTAGCAGCAGCAAGTACTCCTCCTTGTGCCCTCGCTCGCACGCTAAGGCGCTAATAATGCATGCATGCGACAAATGTATGGCGGCTAACCGAGTTGACATGCATGATTTATGAAACTGCTGCACCGTGAATCGTTGTTCTCGTACGTGGCCGTCAATAAAAATCACGAACAAAGCTAGTAGATACATATTTGCCGTTGCCTCGTGCCTTTGGCTTTCAGTTAGACGACTCTGTGTTTATATTGATCGCTGCGCCCAATGTAACGCACTCTTCTTATGTTTATATATCCATCCCTCGGACCTCGGCCACACCTTTATTATTTTACATTTACTATTGTATGTTCATTTACATTGTGTTTGGTTTGTGTATCCGAAACATGTGGAATGACCCGAACCTAAATACGGTGTTTGGTTTGACAGAGATAATCTAGCTGAGATGGGTTGTTAAATATTATCACCTCTGTTGTTCTTTGGTATATCTGGAAACTCAGGAATGAGTTTTGTTTTCAGAATGTTGGCTGGAGGGGCATGGAGACGTTGCTCTTGAGGATATGTGGTCTTTTATAGAATTGGGTGATATTATTCCAACCAGAAAAGAAAGAGCTATTCAAGGTGTTTGTGGAGAAGATGAAGGGTGCGGCAAAGACGGTGTTCTAGCTACCTGGCACAAACCAGGAAGATGTCTGAAGTTTCACCTAGGAGAAGCAGTTCTTCAAGGTGATGAAGAAGATTCTGTGGATGGCATGGTGATCTCAGACCTGGCTTCTTCAGAGGCCTAGTGGAGCTCCATCAATTTGTCTCTTAAGTTGTTGTAATGGGCTCTAGTCCCCTGTTGAGTTGGAGTGAGTTAGTTTCACCGTTCGTTTTGTTGTTTCTTCTGGTAGTTGTGAGACTTTGTTTAGTTTCTATGCTCTGGTGGTGAGGGGGTTGGTTCTTACTCCGGCTGGAGTGAGACTTTTTGGTTAATTATACTTGATGCTGTAACGTACTTTGGTCTTTTGGCTAATAGTTGAAAGGCTAGGGCTGTGCCCTCAAACTCTAAAAAACAGAGAGTCGACTCGTCCATCACCAGGTCATTATTCCACCGGCAGGCTAAAATAAGGGACCGACTCGTTCCCTCATAAACGTCGGAAGAGCACATCCGATCCTAGCAGGAGCGAACTCATGATGGATGTGTTGATGACGGACAGGATCAATCCCCAAACCAAACAGCCCATTAATTTGCAGCTTGATGCTGGTGATGTTAGCGGGAAGAAGGGTGGTTTCCAACTCAATGGCGCTATCTATTGCATGCCCATTGGAAATGTTAATTATACCGGCGTTTCAGATCGACTTTGTTTGTGAAAGCAGATCGAGCGGCACAAAATGATTGCTTGCGACCTTATTGAGGGCAGCACCAACGCAGGCACATAGACATGTTAGCCTTGGCAAAAAGTATCGTTCCACATGTGCAGCGGACCACTTCAGGGCTATCACCTATCAACCATCAGCTAAGTCTATTGATGTCTATCACAACTTTTGCAGTGCCAAAAATGAAAATCATGCAGCTACTTTTTCCTCTCTCCAACCCTATCTCTCTCTTCACAAACAGATGCTCTGTATCTACAACGCGTGCTTCACTGCTAGCTTCTGCAAAAGTGTCAAATGAGGCTGTAGTAGTGTTTCTGCAGGCCACTAAGACCCTCTGTGAGGCTACTGAAGTAGTGATCCATTTAACGTGGCAGTTACATGCTGATGTGGAGGTTGGGGCAGCACGACACGGTGAGGCGTTGAGGGTGGCCTGATGAGCCCACCATGCAAGAGACCAGAGAGGAGCGTGAGTGTGCAACATAAAGAAATGACGTGGGATGTGCGTATACATGTGTGGATTCTGCATGCGCACAGAATGACGACTCAATCCACCATCTATATATATTTGCACACAAAATTTACAAGAGGAAAGGTGGTGTGTAGTCTGCATCAAGAGTCAGTGAAAAATACCAACGTTTTAGTATACTGCCCTTTTGCTCTAGGCAGGACCCGGACCTTTTAGCCTGCAACTTGATTGAGTGCATGTTTCACTGAATGCATATACATCTTTCTAGCCTGGAGAAGCTACCAATCCTCGTCTAAATCATGGGCGTGCCGCCGCCTATATATATTAGCACACAAACGGTCACATGGCCATCAAACGGACACAAACACCTCGCTTCTGCATCTCTTTGCATTGTCCCATGATGAGATCACCCCGCTTTGCATTGCTTTAGTCTTCTGCACCACTTGGTGCTCAACAACCTGCATTTCTTGAATATCACCTTGCGAACACGGTGAGCACGAATTAGATTTAGTTTTGGTCTTTTGTTCCACACAAGTCGGTTCTCTACCTAGAACGATAACACAAATAATAAGCAAGGCATAGCCGCTATACGTTTGTTCATGAACCTGTCATTTAGAGATGGGACGATGGATATGTATTCAGATATTGGTTCCTTCTGTTTTTAGTATTGAAACCATATATGTATAGAGAATTAGAGATCAATCAATCTTGCAGAGATGCCGACGTCAACGGTGGCCATCACGTTGGACCTGGGATGCTGCCGCTGCAGGACCAAGATCCAGAAGATCCTCTGCTGCCTCCAAGGTGCGTGTAGTAACTGACGTCGATCCTTGCTAACTGATCACATGCATGCATGTACATCGTCATATATGTTGTTCCCATGAGATAATCTTTGATCATAGACACGCAAATGTGTGTGTACTCATGCAGAACGATGCGGGTTCGTCTTTGACAAGGTGGAGTACGACAAGGACAAGGTGCTCGTTTCCGGGCCCTTCGACGCCATGGACCTCTGCTGCAAGCTCCGGTGCAAGGCCGGATGTTTCGCAACCAAAATTGAGATTGTGCCCCCGCCGCAGCCGAAGAAGAAGAAAAAGAAGAAAAAAGAAGTTCCACCGCCGCCGCCGCCGCCTCTGCCTCCGCCTGTGGAGGACTTCAAACAGCCCGAGCGAGCAACGTGCAAAGCGCTAATCCCATACCCATGCCTGTACCCATATCCGTACCCGTGCCCGTCCGCGTGCCCAAACCCGCAGCCAACGTGTCCATCCAGTTGCGCTACGCCGCGCTCCTGCCAGTGCCACTCCTGCAGGCCGCCGCCGCCATGTCCGACACCACCACGGCCATGTCCGGCACCGGTGTGCAACAAGTGCCCAACATGGACGCCGTGCCAGTGCCGTGGCTACCCGTGGGTCGTCTGCTGCGAGGAGAAACCCGACGCCAGCTGCGCTGTCATGTAATTGCAAACTGCTGTTGCATGCAGGCGGGCGGCCGCGGGTTGCTGCAACTGCAACCTCATGACCCTGCCATTCCTACGCACGTGTTATGCATGCATGTGCCCGTGCATAAAACATCAGTGAAAGCGCCTCTCAAAAAAAAAAGATCAGTGAAAGCGTCCCGTGAGATTGACATGGGTTAGTTTCTTCGTACCAGGATTCACGGCTGCTTCTGCATGCCGTCATCATTCATCAGCTGTAAACGTGACTCGAGTAGTGTGTGTTGCTGCTGCTGTTGTTGTACATGAAAAAAGAATAAATTTATGCTTTTGTCACTTGGTCCTGCCGATCGAGTTCTAATTCACTTCTTCTTATCATGTAATATAAGGCCCAACAAAAAAACCATCCATAATCCAAGTTGGTGTTGATTTGTCGGGTTTTGTATCTTCAATCTAATGTTGTACATTCATCAACAACAATAGAAAAGAAAATGAAAGTTATCATTCTGAAGCTACCTAACTTTGCATGCATACTCCCTCCATTCTTAACTATACGCTATCATGCTAAAATTCTAGGACAGATGTGAGGTAAAGCTAATGACACAGTAATCCTCTCATAATCGTGAGGAGCTATTTTGCTTTACCATATTTTGAACATGGTGGTTGGGATGATAATAGACATTAATGGCATGTACACATGTGATTGGGCTTGGACAACTAATAAATGAGCAAGCGTAGTTAATTCACCTATGATCTCTTATAATTTAGAATAAATCAATTTTGAATAATTTGATACTACCTTAAATTCCACGATTAACGGAATGAAACAATTTGTTTTCATGACAAGTGGCTCCCTTGGATTGATTTGATCTTATCTTCAAAAACCTCTTCACTTCTTTGTGAATGGTTTTCCAAGAAACAAATCAAATGTAAAAGAGGTGTTCAACAAAGAGATCCACTCTCACCTTGTTTTGGAAACTGAGCTATTATATCTTGTTACCAATGAAGGTCGTCCCTGTCAAGATTTGTTGAAGCTACCTCTTGCTAAAGAAGATGTAGACTTTAAAGCGTCATCAATGCCTACCAAGGGGTTTTTTATGTGTGTGTAGGTGGGTGGGTGGGTGCGGGGAGGGGGGTTGGTTTAATATGATAAACCTAGAAATTCTCTTGAACTTAAGAAATGTGGAAGTTCAATAGATTTCTTTGGAACATCCACACATGTTTAGGGTCCCAAATAGATCTCTAGAACCACTATCACGAACCAATTTAGTCATGAAATAGATCATCAAATTACCTTGTTTCCTTAGGTTTTGTATGAAATATTCCTTCCCTTCCATGCATCTAGAACTTCAAGTAATACATCAGGAGAAACCCTTAAAGTCAACTCACAATAGGAATTCAAAAACAACCAACAATAACAAGCACAAGTGACACAAGTATTAACCTAAGTTCGAACACACCATAAAGGAATGCCTATATGTCCTAGCTTGTTGTTGAAGGGACCACAAAGCTTTTGAGTCTCTCCCAACTCTGTATCCTCTTTTAAGCAGACATGAAGATCAATCGTGAGGTTTCCACAATCATAAACCACAACAATACAAACCTCTTGATGATCACCACAATCATTTGGGAGCTTCACTGGAGAGGACTAACCATCTCGGAGCTAAGCTCTAATGTAAGGATTGAATGGCCCCAAGAGGTGTGTGTGTGAATTGGGTCTCTAAAAAATTTATCATGACAAAATTGGCCTATGCAACACTACCAACCCCACTTGCGTTTCATTGGCTAAGGACTAGAAATATTCGCACTAAGATCAAGTCCTTAGGGCCATCACACAAGACATGTACTTAGCAAAGGGAGCACTAATATATTGTCCTTAGTTGCAAAATTAAGCCCTATAGCTAAGCACAATCTAGCAAGCAATCCTACTTGTCACACACAAGTTTCTTGCACACAAATGAGCACTAACTTCTAAGGTAGAAGAAGTAAGCAAGTCATAAAGAAGGCAAAGAGACAACTTTATTTATGTCATTCTATTAGTTGTTAAAACACAACCCCTAGTTCATGTTGGAGCTCCACCAAGGTATGCTCCCGAAAACCATGTCTCACCGTGTTTGCTACTTACTAAAGGAAATGGAGTCACAAAGTCTCCTATGGCACCCGACTATTCCAATCTTGGGATTGGACTCCGCCCAATCAAAGACAGTGTCAAGAGTCACACAATTTCACAATTGACACCACTGTCACATGAGGTCATGGTGTTGCATCACAAATCAAAGGAGTGAGTCACTATGTCTCACAATAACCCCCACCCAATTTCACCATAGGCATGTGTACACTATGGAGCTTCTCCACCAAGCTAGGGAGAGGGTCTCCTTGTCCCTTGCACACCAATATGACGCCTCTCCACAACACCCTTGGAGGGTTGCCACCTTGATGGGACTCATTGCCTCACCAGAAGATCACACATGATCTTAAGCGCTCCAACTCATGAACTACAACCCTCATCGCTGCCTCACACTTACAAATAGTGGGACCACTCACATATGTGTGTCTTGCCAACACAAGTCTCTAAACACCACATCTCTCACTTGATCCTCACTTTCTTATCTCCTTAAGCTCCATACTCCCCTCCACTAAAGTCATGGCCAAAAGCTACCAGGAAGACCCTTGGGGGTATTTATAGCCAAACCACGAGAGAGATCCATTGGCAATCTTTCCAAAAGTTCTCCAATGCGGTCAACTAGAAAATACAAAGACCGGGCAGTCTAGTCTGTTCAATTGAATAGTACACCTCTAATGGCTAGCTCTGACACTCCAACGGCTAACTAACATCATTGTCCTTAGAAATATTTGGCTCTCAAATATCTCGACTAGTCGGACTATCCCTTCAAGACATCGACATGTTGACTTTGCAACAATCAAACACATATGTGTCAATTGTTCCATGCTCAAACTTTTATTTGGCCAGTCTATCCCTTGAAGTCATTCCAATTGTGCTCCGAAACCCTATCCCCTATCACTATTTTCACAATTGTTCAGTACTCACATTCTTCACTAGTTGGACCAACCAGTCTTCACCTTTGAATAGTGCTCTTCACCCAAAGACAAAGGGAACTTCAACTGCTTTGTCTGGTGTTTTCATTTTCTTCAGCGTCGAACTGTCCATTATTTGTAGTTTTTTGGTTTGAGCTCTAACTTGTCCACATGAGCTCCAATTGAAGCAAAACTTACTCTGTTAGACTATTTGTTGTACAACTGTGTAAGGTCGAGATGGTGGACTAGAGGGGGGTGAATAGTCCTTTCTAAAATTAATCGCATCGGCTAACCGATATAAATGCGGAATAAAAACAATCGGTCTAGCCAAGACTACACCCCTCTATATATGTTCACTAGCATCTTGCAAAGATACTAATTATGCAACTAAGGTGCCGGGCTAGCTAGAGCTCTCCTAAACAATTCTAGGAGCAAGGTCACACAAACCTATGCCACTAGTACTTTAAGCAACAAGGAAGCTCCTACACATGCTAGTAAGCAAAAACACAAAGCCAACTAAGCTCACTAGCAAAGCTCAATAACAAGGCAACCAATGCCTAATTAGAGAGCGCAAATACTTAGCTACACAAACTAAGCAATGTGACTAACAAGGTTACTAAAACCAAATTAGCCACGCAAGGGAGCTACTTCTATGCTACACAAGCAAGAAGATAATTAGCAAGCTACACAAGCTATCTAATTACAAGAGCAACTACACAAGCTTAATATGTATAAAAGTAATTGCAAGCTTGTGTAATGGGGATGCAAACCAACGGGAAGAACAAGGTTGACACGATTATTTTTCTCCCGAGGTTCATGTGTTTGCCAACACGCTAGTCCCCATTGTGTCGACCGCTCACTTGGTGGTTCGGCGACTAATTAGCATCACCCGCTAAGCCCGCACGTCGAGCACCGCAAGAACCTACCCCTTGAGTGAGGGTAGCTCAATGACACGCTTTACTAAAGTTGCTCTTCGTGACTCCCGCGGGGCGAGCACAAGTACCCCTCACAAGCACTTCTCCGGAGCACCGCACAAGCTTCTTGCGGGCTTCAACGGTGACCACCACCAAGCCGTCTAGGAGGTGGCAACCTCCAAGAGTAACAAGCACCACCGGCTTGCAACACGACCACCTAGTGCCACTCGATGCAACCTCATGATGCAATCGCACTAGAATCGCTCACTCACACAATCGAATGATCACTATCAAGTATATATGTGATGGAGGGCTCCCAAGCACTCATAAGCATGGACACTAAGTCCCCTTAGGTGCTCAGCACCAGCCATGGCCGAGGGCCACTTCTATTTATAGCCCCAAGGGCTAAACTAGCCGTTACCCCTTCACTGGGCAACGGTCGGGCCGACCGGATGCTCCGGTCGTGTTGACCGGACGCTGGACCTCAGCGTCCGGTCGCCCGCAGACGGCCAAGCGTCCCAGTTCCAACGGTCACTTGACTTGACCAGACGCAGCAGCTTTCAACTGACCGGACGCTGAACCCCCAGCGTCCGGTCGTTTCCAGTAAGGTACCGACCTCGACCGGACGCGTCCGGTCACACTTGATCGGATGCAGCCAGCGTCCGGTCACACTCCAGCTTCTGCGTCATCGTACGTCAGCCTGACCGGACGTAGCCAGCCAGCGTCCGGTGCATTCAGATCCAGCGTCCGGTCAGTTGACCGACGCCAGCATCTTCGCGACTAACTCGTTTTCACTTCTAACTTCATCACCCTTGCTCCAATGTGCTAACCACAAGAACTTGTATCCGGCGCAATAGAAAATAGGCATTCTATTTTCCCGAAAGCACCGAATCCATGTGGAATCCATCGAGGGACCCAAACCCATCTCACCCCTGCAAACACCACCTCCTTTGTAAATGTGCCAACACCACCAAGTGTACACCACCATGTGTATGTTTGTTAGCATTTTCACAATCATTTCCCAAAGGATGTTAGCCACTCAACTTGCCACGCCACTCGATCCTAGCGACAATGC